ACACACACACACACGGCGACACAGACCCCGTGAGCCCACACGCGCCGTGACCCTGGCGGACAGCTATCCCATCACCACTCTGCGGTCCCTGCGCGGGGGGCTCACCTGTTTGTCTTCCAGATGTGCACGGTCTCGGCGTCGGCGATGCCGTGCCTCTCCGCCAGCTCGTCCAGGAAGTCGAAGAAGAAGCGCACGGCGATCGGCACCGGGCGCTTGGTGCTCAGGATGGACAGGAAGACGTCGTCCACGAACTTCTGCAGCGTGCCCTGAGGGAGGGAGAGGGGGACAGGGAGAGGCGTTCACACCCAGGCCGTGTCCCTGTACCCACACTTCCGGTCTTGCGCCCTACAAGTGCGCGATCTCGCTCAAGGTGCCCCGTTTCTAAATCTGTTTCAGCAGGGGGCTCAGGAGCGCCCTTCTCTGAAAGCCGTGTCAGAACGAACCCCGCAGAAGAGAGCCCCTCAGTTCTTTGCGGAATGGTGACATTCCAGGCTCTAGCCTATCGAGGGGAAGGTGTCGTGGAGAATAAAACCTCCACATGTGAGAAAACTGTAACTTCACAGTTTTAAAACTCACAATATTTTATGTAAAAGATTTAATTCATCCGGTGTGTATTCTAGGTATGAAGCTTTAATTGCGTCACCCCGTTTCGACTTATGAATATTTGCTCACCTGCGGTGTGCTCTGTACACGGAATATTTAAAGGCACACGTATTTAATAGTACAAAGCTTTGAGGTATTGCCAAACTCATCTTAATTAGTTTGCTTTGAATGAACATGACTGTTCCTCGTACTGTCGTTTTTGTACTGGGACAGACGACATGAAATGTCTTTTGGTACTACAAGGCTCTGAATTCACAGAGAGTGGTTTTAGTTGACTCCGCCTGAGCAGCGCGACATGAACGGACACGACGCGTCACTGCTTTTGTGCGGGGAGAGCCGGGATGAGACCGCGAGCGGAGAACGAAACCGCTGGAAAAGCGGCAGACGGCACTTTGACCCCGAGCTGTGGAACCAGCGCGTGACCTCAGACGGGGGGTCCCGTTCCCCCCTTTATGCCGATGCTCCTCGAATCCTCCCTCGCGGCGCGTCCCGGAGGCAGGGCTCGGGGTCTGGGCCCTCAGGGGCCGGCCGTACCTTCATGGACAGCAGGCGGGTGAGGAAGATCTCGGGGATGGCCTTGGCCCTCTCCCTCTCCCTCACGCTGCTCTTCCTGTGCTTGGGGATCTCCGGCTCCTCGCTGGACTTCACCAGGTGCCACAGCCGCAGCCCCCCCTCCTCCTCCGCCTCCAGCATGGGGGTCTCTGTGGGGGCGAGGGGGGACACGCTGGAGTGAACCACTGGGTGTCG